ATTGATTAAGCTGCTTGAATTGGGCATGAATTCCACATTACTTTTTTATTTTATTGTATCACCGTGAGATAGAATTACAAAGCTTTCATATTTGAGATTCAGCCATATAATGATGAAACACCCATCCCTCCACCAGTGCACATTTTCCACCACCACCAATGTCCCAAGTATCACCCCCCTCACATACATTCACATTGCAGTCCTCACCCTGCCTCTATGGCAGACAATTTCCCTAATATTCTCTCTCTAATTTGGGACATTAATTTTGCTCTAATTTTCCCACCACAATTCAAGCCTACCTGCCAGGGGCAGACATTAGATAATATATTTTCCATAGCTCATTTCGAATATCATGAGAGCTCATGTGGGTGTGATTGTAAATGTAGATTTCTAGATTGTAAATGGCTGGGTTACAGAGACATCTCTGTATGGCACTAATCCACTTTGGGATTCAACTGGGAGTCTCTGGGCCAGGTCTGTTGGTGCGCTAAGATGGCATCCAAAGGCAAATTGTGGGCATGACAGCTAGTCTTCTGGGCAGGTGGTGACCCGGGGAGGGACCTCTGCTACCATGAGGTCTGGAATTTTAGTCCTGAACCCACATATTTGGGCCTTGCTGTGAAAGCTCTTGGTCACTGGGATTCCATCTGGAGTAGGTGGGGAGACTTCACCTACTCCATCTGGGGTGCCCTGGTGATATTGGCTCGGTATGGGGCCCAGAGAGATCTCCGGCACTGTGGTGTCATCTGGGACTTGCTGCTGTGTCTCTGGGCCAGGGCTGTTGGTGTGTTAAGATGGTGCCTGGAGGCTAATTGTGGAGATGACAGCCAGTCTTCTGGGCATGTGGGGACCCAGAGAGGGACAGCCCAGGTCCTCTGCCACCATGCGGCCTGGAGACGTAGTCCTTGAACCTGCATACCTGGGCCTTGCTTGTGGAAGCTCTTGGTCACTGGGATTACATCTAGAGTAGGCGGGGGGACTGCACCTGTTACATCTGGGGTGTCCTGGTGATATTAGCTCGGTACAGGGCTTAGAGAGATCTCTGGCACTGTGATGTCTTCCGGGACTTGCTACTGAGTCTCTGGGCCAGGGTTTTTGGTGCGCTAAGATTCACATTATAAAATTTTCAGCAGATTATATCTTGGTGAGGTCCATTGAGACAGTGGAGTCAGGTTTGGGGTATGTTGGTAGCTTTGGATTGTGGAAGCAAGTGGCTGCCGGGGTCTCTGCTTGGGCGGGCACAGTCAATCCACCCCCTCCAGTTTACTCTGGACTGTTCAGCCATGTATGGGTCTGAGTTTGATTGCAGCTTTTGATCTCTTTGGAGATTTATTTACGGGTCTCTGAGGTAAGGCCAATAGTAGAGCTTACAGGGTGGCGCTGGAGTTGGTTCATGGAGGTGACTGCCAGTTCTTCCATGTGTATTGGGAAGTGGGGGAGGTAGCCCATCCCAACAATGAGTGAGCTTGTATAGCTGAGTTGGATGTGGTTTGTGGGTATGCCTCCCACATACCTAACTTTTGGCCATTTAATTTCTTGGTAAACTTGTTGCCAAGTTGTTGGGGTCTGGCCAAAGGCACTCAATTTTGGGGTATCATCGCCCCATAGGTATAGATTGACCTGTTGGTGGCACCATACCCCCCATTTTCAAATTTTCAACGTATAGACACTGCACATATTTTGAGAAAATCATACTAAATATTTTATATTTTGGTGTAATTACAAATAAGAGTAGTCTTATTAGTTTTTAATTGCTTATTGATAGGACATAATAATTGTTTTCAACTCTGGGCTTTCTTGGAGTCAAGGTGGGCACCCCCCATCTCCTCATACTTCCAGAATCCTGGCAGCCACACCCACATCCCACTACCATCACCATGTAGGGAGACAATTCATTATGAGATTCATTTGGGAGTCTCTGGATAAAGGCTGTTGATGTGCTGAGATGGCGCCCAAAGGCAGATTGTGGGCATGACAGCCAGGACCCAAAGCTGGCTGGGAGATAGGAAGGGACCGCACATCTCCACTGCTGCCATGTGGCCTGGAGTCTTAGTCCTTAAACCTGCGTACCTGAGTTTTGCTTCTGGAAGCTCATGGCCATTGGGGTTTCATCTGGAGTAGGTGGAGATGGCACACCCCGCTTCCAGTGGAATTGGCTCAGTACAGGGTCCAGAGAGATTTCCAGTGAACTGCTGTCTTCCGGGATTCATGCTGTGTCTCTGGATCAAGGCCCTTGATGTGCTGAGATAGGTATGCGGGTTTTATGACTGAAATCTCGAGGCTTTCTTGGAGTTGGGATAGGCTACTTCCCCTCACTTCCCTATACTTCTGGAAGCACCGGCAGTCACCCCCACGAACCAACTCCAGCACCACTGTGTAAGTTCTTCTACTGACCTTGCTTCAGAGACCCATAAATTAATCTTGAAAGAGCTCAAAAGCCACAGTGAATATTAGACCCGCAGAAGGCTGAACAGATGGGGGTTAATTAGAGGAGGATGGTCAGCCTGGTACCTTCCCAAGCAGAGCCCCCAGCAGCCACTTGCTTCCACAATCTAAAATCACCACCATGACCCTGGCCGGACTCCACCATCTCAGGACAGACCTCGCTGGGATATAATCTGCTGAAAATTTAGGCATGCAAGTTTTGTGACTGAAATCTCCAGGTTTTTCTCAGGGTCGGGATGGGTTACCTTCCCCCACCTCCTTGTACTTCCAGAAGCCTCAGCTGTCACATCCACACCCCAAAGTTGCCATCCAATTTAAAAGCTATTCCATCTTGGTGGTGAAAAATGAGTACTGGTGAAGGAAAAGGTGTTTGATCATTGTATGACTGAGACTTAAACCTGAAAGCTTAGTAACTTTTCCCACAGTGATTCAATAAATAAATATAAAAAGAAAAAAAAAAGAAAAAAATTAAGGTGGCGTTCATGCCCAATTCAATCAGCTAATCAGTGGCTTAATAAATAGCAGTACTCCTACAAAAAAAACTAGTTCAGCTTTACCGTCCTGTTAAAAATACAGAATGCCCTGAACAAACACTATGACCTCTTAGTACCTGTCTTTCAAACCCTAATGTACAAAAAGAAAAGGGGGGAGGGAGGGAAGGAGTGAGGGAGAGGGAGAGATGGAGAGGTAGAGGGACGGAAGGGGAAAGAGAGAGAGAAAGAGAGAGAGAGAGAGGAAAAGTGACTGCCAAGAGGAAGGCTGGGGGTGGGGGGGTGAGGGATAGTGGGAGGGAAATTGGGGACATTGGTGGTGGGAAATGTAAACCGGTGGATGGATGGGTGTTGGATCATTATATGACTGAAACCCAATCACAAACAGCTTTGTAATGTTCTATCTCCAAGATATTCAATACAAAAATTAAAAAAAAATTTTTTTAACTGGGAAGCAGCTTAGGGGTGTGGACGTGACTGCTAGGACTTCCAGAAGTATAGGGAGGTGGGGAGAGGTAGTCCATTCTGACTCTGAGAAAGCCTGGAGATTTCAGTTCCTAAATTCATACCTGAATTTTCAGCAGGTTAATTTCTGGGTGAGACCCGCTCCTGAGACAATGAAGTCCAGCCAGAGGCATGGTGGCAATTTTACAGTGTGGGAGGGAGCAGCTGCTGGGGCTTTGGGCAGGGCCGTGGCTGGGTCACCCCCGCCAGGTGCCCCAGATATTTCAGCCATGCGAGAATAGCTGAAGAAATTTTGGCGGCTGGTTGATCTCTTTTGAGATTTATTTATGAGTCTCTGGAGCAAGACCAGTAGATGAGCTTACATGGTGCTGGAGGTGGTTTGTGGGTGTTAGGGTTCGATCTGCTAGGGTTTCTAGAACCTTCCTTTTATTTTCAACCAGAAATGCTTCCATGAATTTCTGAATGCTACAGTGAGGAATTAGACCTTATTGCAAAAGTAGGAGACATACTGGAGACAGAGTGGTGAATGGGACAAATATTCTGCTAAACTCATGAGTAGGGGGAAAGAAAATCATATTTATTAGGGACTGGAGAAATAGCACAGGCAAAAGGTGCTTGTCTTGCATGTGGCTGACTTCAGTTTGGCTCCTGGAGCACTGCCAGGAATGAAGAGCCAGGAATAAACTCTAGGCACTGCCAGTTGTGGCCCAACCTCCCCTACCCCCAGCCCTCCACTGCCCCTGCCACCCCCTGTCCACAACACATGCCCCAAAGTCATATTGAGGAATATTTTAAAAACTTCCTGGACTGGGATCTAGGTTACAATAGAGGAAGCAAGTGACTTTATTATTAATTTTGGTTTTGGGGCCACACCCAGCAGTACTCAGAACAGCTGTACTCAGAACTCTGCTCAGGGATCACTCCTGATAGGCTGAGAGGACCTTATGGAGTATTTGGAATTGAACCTGGGTTGGCTGTATGCAAGGAACATGCACTACCCTCTGTACTATCGCTCTGGTCTAGTATCCTTATTTATAGATGGATTTATTTATAAATACATTTATAGCGCCCATGATTTAAAAGATACTTTCTTCTCTGTTACACAACTCCCATTAGCTGTGAATTTAGTATCATTACTATTTTACAGATGGGATAGATATAGCATAGAATTCTTTTTTTTTTTTCTTTTTGGGTCACATCTGGCGATGCACAGGGGTTACTCCTGGCTCTACACTCAGGAGTTACTCCTGGCGGTGCTCAAGGGACCGGGAATCGAACCCGGGTCGGCCACATGCAAGGCAAACACCCTACCCGCTGTGCTATCTCTCCAGCCCCTAGAATTCTCAAATGATTTATTAAAATTAATTTTAACAAAAGACCTATTTTGTTAAATTTCAAGCTCAATGTACTTCTAATTATGTCATAGAAATATCAGAATGATGAAAGCAGAAAAATGGGAAAATCTGAGACCCACAGTAAGTAGAGAAGTAGTGGAACTTTGAATACATTCATAGTAACTGTTACTGACATTTTGGGAAGATAACCAAAACTTACTGCCAAACAAAATTTATCAGTATATTCCCCTGCTTATCTTTACAGGAAGTTATGATGCAATTAAATGCCATAACAGAGAATGTGCAACGGATAATAAATCGCTATAATTATGAGGATCCCACGTACTCTGGAAAGAAAATCTCTATTACAGAACATAGAAAACGAAGAAATCTTCTCCTGGAGAAAATAAACAATCATGCTAAGAGTGTTGAGAATTCAGAAAAGACTCTTGCTTACATCCTGGCCTGGTTGGAAGAATGGAGTAAGTTTCCAAAAGTCGTTCATAGGGGGTATGGTGCTACCAGCAGGTCAATCTGTGCCTGTGAGGTGAGAGCATCAGCAGCGTGATGGCGCCTTCAGACTTCCAGATACCCCCAAATTGCTGCTGTGCCTTTGGCCAGACCCCAAAACCTTGGGGCAAAGTTTACCAAGAAAGTAAACGGCCAAAAGTTAGGTATGAAGGAGAGACACTTACAAACCCCCTCCAACTTAGCTAATTGGAGGCAAGGCCTCTCTGGTTCCTGATCAAACTGTTTAACGGCCATGATCCCAGAGACGCAGAAACAAATCTCGGAACCCAGCGGCTTTTGACAGAGATGCGTCCAGTCCCCACAATGGGTTACCGGCACCGGACCACCCCAGAGGGGAAAGGGTGTTGTCCCTCCACCTGCTACCTATTGGCAGCTCAGTGCCTGACGTCTTCCAGAGGCCATTGGACAGTCAGGTTTGGGCCCGCAGTGACGAAGCCAGTGGGGCTTCACGGGATAGGGTGGAGCCAGCCCCTTCCTCCTGGCCCCAACGAGACCCTGGGTCACTGCCCATGAAAAACCTCTTTGGCTCCTGATCAAGCTGCTTAACAGCCATGATTCCAGAGACTCAGAAACAAATCTCAGAACCCAGGAGCTTTTGGCAGAAATGCATCCAGTCCCTGAAGTAGGTTACTGGTGATGGGCCACCCAAGGTCGGAATAGGTTTCATGCCTTGGCCTGTTCCCCCTGGTGGCTTGGTGGCCACCATCCTCCAGAGGCCATTGGACAGTCAGGTTTGGGCCTGCAGTGATGAGACACATGAGGCCTCACGGGATGGGTGTGGAGCCGGCCCTTTCCTCCCCACCCCAGCAAGACCCCTAGTCGCCATCCACAAATGGCCTCTCTGGCTCCTGATCAAGCTGCTAATGGCCATGATCCCAGAAACTCAGAAACAAATCTTGGAACCCAGCGGCTTTTGGCAGAAACGCGTCCAGTCCCTGCAGTAGGTTACTGGCACCGGGCCACTCCAGGTGGGAATAGGTTTTGAGCCTTGGCCTTTTCCCACTGGCACTTGGTGGTTGCCATCCTCCAGAGGCCATTGGACAGTCATGTTTGGGCCCGCAGTGACAAGACATGCAGGGCCTCATGGGATCGGGATGGCCCTTTCCTCCCCGCCCCCACGAGATCCTGAGTTGCTGCCCATAAACCCCTCTCTGGCTCCTGATCAAGCCACGATCCAAGAGACTCAGGAACAAATCTCGGAACCCACCAGGTTTTGGCAGAAATCCCTCCAGATTTAAGTGTCAAACTTTTGGAATTCCAAAATTGCGTGGCCACTACTGTGGCTGTGTGACATCATATGTTATTCATAATCAGCAATAGAAAACAAATTGTCTACTGTTGCCTTTTCGGTAGATCTGAGTGTTGGGGTAAAATCCCAAATAATAATGGTGGGTCTGGTGTTGAAATATTGAATGTAATCAAAGTAGAGAGAGAGAGGGGTGGAAATCATCTGCCCTACAGGTAGGGGGAGGGTGTGGGATGGGGGGTATACTGGGACTTTTGTTGGTGGAAAATGGGCACTGGTGAAGGTACGGGTGTTTCATTGTATGACTGAGACTTAAATCGAAAGCTTTGTAACTGCTCTCACGGTGATTCAATAAATAAAATTATGAAAAAGGAAAAAAAATAGTAAGGTGGAGTTCATGCCCAATTCAATCAGCCTAATCAATGGCTGAATAAATAGCAGTACTCCTACATAAAAAAAAAAAGTAATAGTAAAACCACAAAGATAAACTAGAGAACAGGATCTATAAGTAAATGTTGAAGAATCAGTCTGAAGAAGAAAAGACTTAAAAAAAACAATTGTCCTCTAGTAAAAATTTTAAAATTAAATAATAAAAATAACCAGTTTTCTCACTTTATACTATTTTGGCATTTCATTTTGTTTTGTTTTTGTTTTTGATTCATACCCAGCTATGCTCAGGGGCTACTCCTGGCTTTGCATTCATGGATCAATCCTAGTCGGGGGTCTGGAGACCCTATGAAGTGACAGGGATTGAACCCTTGTTGGCCGTGTGCAACACAGGCACCTAACCTGCAGTATTATCACTTGGGTCCCTATTCTGGGTCTCCCCCCCCATTTTTAGAGTTTCTATGGTTTATGATACTATTAATAATGGTTTCTCATGCACATAATTCTAACATCACGCCCATCACCAGGGTATCTCCTTCCTCTGCTAATAACCCTAACACTCCTTCCTCCCAATCTCACCAACTCAATTGTGTGGATCAGTTCTCCCATTATGTTGCCTTTCAACCTTTTTTACTACCTTGCAGTGTATCTCATAAGTTCCATATAGGAGCACTCGTTCTGTGTCTATTCCTTTCTTTCTGGTTGACTTTACTCAGCATGATATCATCTTTATTATCTACATATATGTATGTATATCTAGTTTATTTTGGTTTGGAGGCCAATCCGGCGATGCTCAGGGGTTATTACTTCTGGCTCTGAACTCAGGAATTACTCCTGGCAGGCTGAGGGACCATATGAGGTGCCAGGGATTGAACCGTATGCAAAGCAAGTATCCAAATCTGCTGCACTATCACTGAGGCTCCTCTTGAAATGTTTTTTGTTTGTTTTTTGGGGTCACACCCAGCGATGCTCAGGGGTTACTCGTGGCTCTGCACTCAGGAATTATTCCTGGTGGTGCTTTAGGTACCATATGGGATGCTGGGGACTGTACCTAGACAAGCCGCATGCAAGGCAAATGCCCTATCAGCTGTACTGGCCCTGCCATCTTGATCATTTTTAAACACACTAGCATGTACCTGCCAGTCTTTGCTTATGCTAACCCTGTCCTTGCCTGGAACATTTCCCACCAGATAGCCATATGCCACTTATAATTCATTTTAAAATGAGACATTCTCCAGCTATCTCCTCCTCTAGCCTCTCGCACTGTCCATGAGTCTTTACTTCTGTCTATTAGCATCATTTCTTATCATTTGACATACTGTATAATTTTTTTTAATAGTTTATTTCTTTATTGAATCACTGTGGGAAAAGTTACAGAGTTTTCGGGTTTAGGTCTCAGTCATGTAAGTATCAAACACATTTCCCTTTACCAATACTTATTTTTAACCGTGAACCCCAATAGAACCCCACCTCCCACCCCTCCCAATTCCTGTGAGGCAGATGAGTTCTAGTTAATACTCTATCTACTTTGACTAGATACATTGATTCGATAGAAGATACACAATTATTGTTTAGAGTTTACGACCCCCCCCCAATCAGATATGCTGAAACAGTGTTGTGAAATGATTTGCTTTCTACAGCTTGGTTTAAGAATAAAATGATGTTGCATGGCCGCGATAGCGGCCGCGTGGTTTTGGATTTCTGCTGTTTCACTTATTAACCCTGGAAGTATTTCTATTAAAAGTTAGATAGTTAAGAGATTGGTTTCTGTGCTCTGGAGTCGTGGCCGTGCCGGAGAGCCACTCATGGGGGGCAGCTGGTGACCTCGGTCGGGCGTGAAGGACGGCCCAGAACGCCCCCCTTCCCATGAGGCCCCCGCTGCCCCCCGCCCCCGGCTCAAACCTGCTGTCCACAAGGCTCCCGTGCGGCCGCCATCTTTCTTTTCATACTGTATAATTTAACATTTAGATTTTGTCTTTTCAATAGAATACAAGTAATATAAGCAATAAGCAGTAAGCAACATATCATTAGGTAATTTGTTTTAATCAAAGCTATATTACCAATATCTAGGACAGTACGTGAGAGAGGAGCCATGGGTTCTTTTAGAATAAATAAAGTCAATCTAAAATGAAGAAATTATTTCACTGTTGTAAGAAATCACATATACGGGTGGTTATAATTTACTTATTTGATAGTATGATAAAGCAATATTAAAGCACGTTCACATTTTAGTTGCACAGTTGCCTGGAGTCAGGGAACTGAAAAAAAAATAGATAGCTTTCGTTTATTTATTTTATTATTACGATTTTTTCCCTGGGAAGGGCGTCTTCTTCTGGCATCTAGCTATTTTGTAGTCTGAGGGTGCAGAATGCTAGTCTCTTTGTGCTGCTCCCTACTCCTCCTCCCTCCCTCATCATCACTTGAGTCTGGGTCTCAGTTTCCTGCCCCTCACCCTGTTTACATCAGGGGCCCTCAGGCACCCTCGCATTTCCTCAGTGGGATCTCATGAGGATTCAGCACTCCTGCACTCACCCTCTTTTCAAATAAGGCCACATTCCAGAATACTGGAGACCTTGGGACCAGGTTCTTTCTGCCCAGGGCTTTCCAGAAAGGACAGTTGAACAGGTGCAGAGCTGGCTCCAAGCCTGCATGATTGTATTGTGTGAGGGCAGCAGTAGGTTTGAGACCTGACAGGACACCAGCCCCCCCAACGTCACCAGGTGGGTCCCTCAAATGAACCAAATGTTCAAGAAGTTGAAGAGATCCTAGAGGCAGATGGCTGGGATGTTGTGGGATGTTGACCTTTTTGAAGATGATTCACCCTCTGGGAAGTGAATTGAGGGGGGTAGGGAGAGATAGGGAGGGGGAGAAAGAAAGAGGGGGAGAGGGAGAAAGGAGAGAAGGAAGGAGAGAGTAGGAGGGCAGGAAAGAGGGTGAGGGGAAGAGGAAGAGGGAAAGGGATAGGCAATTGGATACCTTATTCCTATTTCATGTCCTAGACCTACTGTTCAGTCTAATCCCTCTCTCTCTTTTTCACTTCTTCAGAGAGAAATGCCTCAATAGCAGTTAGTTACCTATGTTTTTAATGCTGCAGCACTGAGTCATCAGTATTATAAGCCTACATGATTTTAATTATTTTTCTATCCTCAAATATTTTTTTTACTGTCTTTAAGGTGGTGTTTTGCCTGGTATGACTGAAGCTGATGTTGATGAGTACTACTACTGCATAGCAAAATTGGAGATTTTACCCAACACACTTAAGTCTATTGATTATAATATTGAAACACTGTCTAGAATTTGTACATATTTGATTGATGAGAGAAGAAAACAGAAGAGAAAAACAGGTAAGAGTACCTTAAGATACTGAAAATAGAGATTGGAGAGATAAGGAAAGGAGTGCATACAAAAGCCCTGGGCTCAAATGGTCCCCCTACCACATGAGGCATGTTCCCTGAGCACTAAGTCAGGAGAAGCCCTTGAGTACTGCTGGAAATGTGACCCCAAAACAAAACAAAAAATGCTTTAGTGGGTTATAATTTACATGTCATAGGGGCTTGAGTGATAGTACAGTGGATAGGGTTCTTGTCTTGCATGAAGCCAATCTGGGTTTGATTCTCTGCAACACATAAGGTCTCCGGAGTGACCCCTGAATACAGAGCCAGGAGTAATCCCTGACTGAGCACCGCCAGGTGTGGCCCAAAAATAAAAGTTACATGCCATAAAATTCCATTAAAATAAATTTTCATCCTTTACAATTCAATTACTTTGTATTTTGAGTAAATTTAGAGTTGCATAAACCTATTACCAACATTTGATCTTAGAATATTTCTACCATCCCCAAAAGAGCCCTCATATCCCATCACTAGTGTTCCCCTCCCTCCTCCAATGTCCCCATGCTGCCCCTTTGATAGGCATATAACAAATTTATTTCCTATTACTTGCTCCAACAAAACTTTAAAGAATGGCAAGTTAAATTATCAGAAAGTAAATCAATAAAAGTCAGTTTGTGATGATTGATTGCTAAGTGGTTTTAACCAACATAAACGAGATGTTGATTTGTTATTGAAAATGTGTGAGATCCCTTAACAAGTTAAGAGCAGACATGCCTTAAAACTGGACGGCTACATGCAAAAATGTGGGCTCAGATCTCTGCCTAACACCATGTACAAAAGTAAGATCAAAATGGATTAAAGACCTCAACATCAGACCGGAATCCATAAGGTACATTGAAGACAAAGTTGGCAAAACCCTCCATGACATTGAAGCTAATGGTATCTTCAAAGATGTCACGCCACTGGCCAAGCAAGTGAAAACAGAGATAGACAAATGGGACTATCTTAAACTAAGAAGCTTCTGCACCTCCAAAGAAACAGTGACCAAAATACAAAGACAGTCTACAGAATGGGAAAGGATATTTGCCAAATACACATCTGACAAGGGGTTGATATCAAGGATATACAAAGTACTGGTTGAACTCCACAAGAAGAAAACATCCAACCCCATCAAAAAATGCGGCGATGAAATGAACAGAAACTTTCTCAAAGAAGAAATCTGAATGGCCAAAAGGCACATGAGAAAATACTCTACATCATTAATCATCAGGGAGATGCAGATCAAAACAACAATGAGATATCATTTCACACCACAGAGACTGGCCCACATCCAAAAGAACAAAAGCAACCAGTGTTGGTGCGGATGTGGCGAGAAAGGGACCCTCCTTCACTGCTGGTGGGAATGCCGACTCGTTCAGCCCTTTTGGAAAACAGTATGGACGAGTCTCAAAAAATTAGAAATTGAGCTCCCATTTGACTCAGCAATACCACTCCTGGGAATATACCCCAGAGAGGCAAAAAAGTATAGTTGAAGTGACATCTGCACTTGTTTGTTCATTGCAGCACTCTTTACAATAGCCAGAATCTGGAAAAAACCTGAGTGACCAAGAACAGATGACTGATTAAAGAAACTTTGGTACATCTACACAGTGGAGTACTATGTAGCTGTTAGAAAGGATGAAGTCATGAAATTTACATACAAGTGGTACTACATGGAAAGTATCATGCTAAGTGAAATGAGTCAGAAAGAGAGGGACAGAGAAATACTGCATTCATCTCGGGAACATAAAGTAACAAAATAGGAGACTAGCACTCAAGAATAGCCGAGATAAATTCCAGGAGGTTTACTCCATGGCTTGGAAGGCAGCCACACTTGCTAGGGGTAAAGGCAGTTCAGAAAGAGAAGGGAGCACCAAATAAAGGGTGTTGGGAAGATCCGCCCAGGATGGGAGATGCATGCTGAAAGTAGACTATAGGCCAAACATGATTGCCACTCAATTCCTCTTTTGCAAACCACAGCACCCAAAAGGAGAGAGAACAAAAGGAAGTGCCCTGCCACAGAGGCTGGATGGGATGGGTGGGGGTGGGGGGGTAGGAGGGATACTGGGATTAGTGGTGGTGGAGAATGGGCACTGGTGGAGGGATGGGTACTTGATCATTGTATAACTGAAACCCAAGCACAAAAATTTGTAAGTCTACAACTGTACCTCATGGTGTTTCACTAATAAAAATTAAAAAAAAAAAAGAGCAGACATGCCTTTCTTAATCTAGTACAGAGTTATCATATGCTACTTATGATTCTTATACTATTCCTCTTGAATTCATCCCATAGTTCTGTGGTATGCTGTTCATTTATTTTCAGACTATTTTCCATCTCTGCTATTTCCTAGTGGTTTCCTCCTTATCATCTTGGAGCGCCTTCATCTTTTGCTCAAACTCTGTTATTCTGCTATTCAGAGCTTCTGTTGAATTGTTTTTAAAATCACCTACCATGTTCTTCATTTCTGTCATTTCTGGTTGTAGTAGATTTTTTCATTTCCTTTTTTTTTTTATTAGTGAGACATCATGAGGTACAGTTAGATTTTTTCATTTCAACTCATAGGTTCTTGTGCTTTGATGACTACCTGTGCCATCGTTTCTTTAAGTTTGTTGAACAACATGGTGTCACTAAAAACACTGAGGATGTCCTGGTACTATTTATGTCTTTGGTGACACAGTTTGCTCTCATAAGCTTGGAGGGCTTCTATGTGTAATCTCATTTGTTTTCTAGTGTTCTTGCTGTGTTGGGGATGAGTCTTTGTTTCCCCTGGAAGATGCTGAGGGATTGGGCTGAGATTGTTCTCTTTCTCCTCTGCCTTTTTTCAGAAAGTGACAGGAAGAATAACTGTGAACATCATGTAGTTGTTGAGTAGGTCTGTTGCTTCAGGAGCGGTGGTATGTCTGTTTATGGTGCAGATTGGATATAAAGGCTGCTGGGACCTAGCCGGAAGGGAAGGACTCTTCCTCCCATTTCAGATTAGGCCCAGAGATGTCAGCTGGAGGCAAGCCTTGCTTGGAATTGTGGAGTAACAAGTAGAAGGTTCATATTTAATTTTTAAGAAATTATTAACATATTTCCCAGGTGACAGCAACAGGATTTCAATTTCTCTACATCTATTTTTTTTTACTTGAATCATAGTGATTCAACCTGCTGTTGAATGTTATATGTTCTAACTCCCACCCAGTCCCATGAGGGGCATTTTTAATGCAAAACATTTTATAATGATAAAAGAATCAGGAAGCTATCACAGTGAAAATGTACACACCTAATAACATATTCTTAAAATACAAGTTAGCAAAAATTAAAGGAGAGATGAAAAATTTAGTAATAATAGTTTGGGAGCTCATATATATATATATATATATATATATATATGCACTGTAGCACTAGCCTCCTGTTGTTCATTGATTTGCTTGAGTGGGCACCACTAATGTCTCCATTGTGAGACTTGTTGTTACTGTTTTTGGCATATCGAATACACAACAGGGAGCTTGCCAGGCTCTGCCGTGCAGGCGGGATACTCTCAGTAGCTTGCCGGGCTCTCCGAGAGGGACGGAGAAATCAAACCTGGGTCGGTTGTGTGCAAGACAAACACCCTACCCACTGTGCTATCGCTCCAGCCATATATATATATATATATATATATATATATATATATATATATATAACGATCACAATCATCCTGTTGTTCATCAATTTTCTCGAGCAGGCACCAGTAACGTCTCCTTCTTCCTAGCCCTGAGATTTTAAAAGAGCCATTTCAATGCTCTTTCAGGATTAGGAGAATGAGACCCATCATTGTTACTGGTATTTGGCATATTGAGTACGACACAGGAAGTTTGCCAGACTCTGCCGTGCGGGCAGGATACTTTTGGTAGCCTGCCAGGTTCTCCAAAGGAAAAATAAGATAATAAGATGTCGCGTGGCTGCATTTGCAGCCGCGCACTTCCGGGAGCTGGGTTTTATAGTGTCTGGCTCTTGGCCGTTGATGGGACCATCCTGGCACTGGTGGCAGCTGGTGGGTGTGACGCCTACATACTGGAAGATGGGGGGTCTGGGTGGAGAAGGCCCAGTCCCAATCCGAGTATATATATATATACATGCATATATATATACATATATATACATATATATTATGAAAAGGCCCTCCTGTTGATCGTCGATTTGCTCGAGCGGGCCCAGTAACTTCTCCATTGGAGACTTTGTTGTTACTGTGTTTGGCATATCGAATACTCTCAGTAGCTTGCCGGGCTCTCCGAGAGGGGTGGAGGAATCGAACTCGGGTTGGCCATGTTGGCCGCTTGTAAGGCGGACGCCCTACCCGCTGTGCTATTGCTCCAGCCCATTTACAAAGTTGTTCATGATTGGATTTCAGTCATATAATGTTCAGTCATATAATGTTCCAACACCCCTCCCTTCACTGGTGTATTTTTCCCACCACCAATGGTTCCAGTTTCCTTCCCCCCCCCCCCCCCCACTGTCTGCCACTCTAGAAGTCTCTTTTATTCTCTCTCTCTCTCTCCTCTCTCTCCTTTGGGCCTTATGGTTTGCAATACAGAAAATGAAAGGTTAAGTATATCCCTTTACCTGCTTTCAACATTCAGTTCCTGTCCAAAATGATCATTTCTAACTATTATTGTTAAGTAGGTCTTTTCTCTATCCTAACTGCCCTTCACCCCCCCTCACACACACACTCTTGTGGCAAGGCAAGCTTTCAACCATTGAACAGTCCTCTTGGCCCCCCTTTACTCTTGCCCTGAATATCAGTCTCATACTATATATGTATGTGTGTGTGTATAATACACAAGCTACCAAGAGTATTCCGCCCTCATATATATATTATACACACACACACACACACACACACACACACACACACATATATATATATATATTCCAGCCACCCTGCAGAACTCATGGCTGCTTCTCCTGGAAGGGAGCATAAAATGAGGCCCCCCCATAACCATGTCAC